TGATCAAAGGAAACCAACTCAACACCAACTGCACGTGCTCTGTCTGCCGGAGCATAAGGATCGTGAGCAATAACGTGCATGCCTAGACCTTTTGCTCGTCTTGCAACTTCTGATCCGACCTTCCCAAATCCCATCACAGCCAAAGTCTTCCCAACCAGAGACACACCTACATACTTGCTCCTTCCCCATATTCCTGGAGATTTTCAAGTGTTAGATTCATGCCTTTATGCTAGTATTGGATATATCATAATTTCGAGTTGCATATTACCCCAACAAGGCAAGTAGCTAGGCAACAATGATCTTACACAAATATGACATTGCTAATGACTTACTAGCAAGATATAATAACAAATGATGATTTGATTTGCTGTATTGTCTTTTAAACTTGAATTCTTATGTCTCGGATACTCTTCCGTTACTAAAATAACAAGTTTCATTTGATAAGAGGTCATACATGAGAAATTGAGTTAAAATATCATAACTGTCTTTCAACCTTTAAAAATTGGAAAAATTGTCAAAAATAAAACAATCCTTCATGGGTTTCCTAAAAATAAAACGACCTTTAGATTATTCTAAAATAAAATGACCTTTGACATGCTTCCGCTCAAGATAGAACGTGGCCTATTGGTGACCGATTTGACAAGTTTATTAGGACACGTGTCTCATTGTAATTGATAGTTTTTTTTTTATTTAACTTTTGCATTATTTTATTATTTTTAAAAAAAAAAAAATCCATAAAACCACTTTCCTCCCGCAAGCGCTGCCCAACCGTCCACCATCAACACCTCCCTTCCCCTCCGATTAAACCCATCTCAACCCCTCTTCTCGCAAGTTAAATCCATCCCCACACCCCTTTCCCTTCCCTTTCCTCTATCTCCATTGAAGCCCATTGAAAGGTGAGTTATATTAAATGGGTGAGCTAAATCAGTAGGATTTTGGTTTTGGGGTGGGATAGGGTGGGTTTCCGGTGGAGTGGGCTAGGTTACGGGTTGGTTGGGTAGGATTTCGTGGTGGTCAGGTGGAGTTTAGGGGTTTCCAATTGGTTGGATGGGTTATTTTGGTGGTTTTCTAGGGAGGATTAGGGTTAGGGGAGCGGCGTCGGAGTGTGAATGGTGGGCAGCACAGAAGGGGGGTGGAAGGGGTAGCAGAACGGGAATGGAGAGGGGAGGGGGTGGCAGTACGGCAAGGGAGGGAGAAATTTTATTATATTATTTTTATTAAAAAATTAAAATCAGTTTTTTAAAAATGAAAATGTTAAAATTAAAATAAAAAATCTTAACCAATCACAATACAACACGTGGTTGGTGTAACCTATTAAATAGGTTACTGGTTTTTTTGTTCTATTTTGAGTAGATTCATATCAAAAGGTCGTTTTATGTTGAAATAATCAAAATGTCATTTTATTTTTAGAAGACTCATGAAAGGTCGTTTTATTTTTGACAATTTTTCCTTAATAATTTACAATTGAATTATCAACCGTGCATTTGGTTTAATTTAATAGAATCCATAATTGTATTTATCAATTAAGGTAATAAAATAAAAAGTAGCATGTCATTTTGAGACAATCCTAAATGAAGAACAAGATTTTTAATTTTGTGATAATCATCAAGAGATAAATATCTTAATTAATAGGTGAATCAAACACCCTTTACTAACACAAATTTTCATTTATAAATTATTAAGGCGATTTTCATTAAGTTATGTAACACCGATTTAAGTTACCTTAAAAGTATATAAGATAAACCCTTATATATTATAAAAGTTACCATTTTCATAACATAAATCTAACTCTTACAAAAAGATTTATAATGTATCAGATTAATGACATTAGCTTTTAATATTCATTAGAAAATACATATTAAAATACAATTAAAATCATTACAAATTAAAAGTTCTTAAAGCCTTAAAGGAGTTAATGTTATTTTTAAAAATTGTTAAAGTTACCTTAGATTGACTGTACCGTTTTTTCAATAAAATTAACGTAACTTCGCCTTATAGAAGACTTATTGCTCTAGTAATTACTTATTGTTTTCTTTTTTACTATACTAGATTTGAAATTTTCTTCTTGGAGGCATATGCACCATGCTTGGTGCATATGGATTAATTTTTATTTATTTATTTATTTATTTTAAAAAAAGGCGAAATAAATATTTAGTTGTTTGTAATGAACATATAGTTGTTTTGTAAAGAACATATAACTGTTCTATAAACAACATCCAGCTTTATGTTCTTTTTGTATATCTAAAAATATCTGTAATATTAATAAAGAACATGATAATATAATGTAATAAACAGTATTTTTATTCAACCACCATAATTTAAAGTCAAAATTCAAAAACCATTTCAAAATAAACAATGAACATTTATGTCACAAATAAAAGTACATCATACTAACAATAAAAGAACATGGAGATAAAGAACATTATTTAACAATATGTTCTTTTCACTTTATGTATATGTTCTGATTAGGGATTTTTCCCCACCAATCACCATCTGACAAGTGACCAATCAGGTTCCGCCATGTGTCCGTCACATGGGTCAATAGGAGCCTGCCACGTGTCAAGCACTGATCCGTCCACCATGGACCAATTACGACACGACACGTGTCCTTCCCATGACACCTGGGATAACCGGTCACCTAGGCCCAACTCCCGAGGAAGCCCAATCAGTCCAAGGTTAACCTAAACCTAGATTGGCACGTTTCCCGAGGTTATAAATACCTCCCTTAATCCTCATTAAGGGGAGAACACGCTAAAAACGCAGATTACACACATTAAACACTCTCACCTAGAGAGACCCAATCACTTTAATTTACGCATTAATTACTCCTTAATCAAGTACTAACTTGACCGTCGGAAGCGGATCTCCAATCATCCGGAGCATCCGTTTGTTTTGCAGGTACAGGCGTCCGGTTCCAGTCTCGGAATTGTAACTCTCCCGCAGGACATCAGAAAACCCCGAAACATTTGGCGCCGTCTGTGGGAGAGTACTTCTGAGATGGCATCCACGTCTGTACCGACTCCTGAAGAGAGACGTCCCTAGACGACCCTCAAGTTCAGTCGGACCACGATACTGAGAATGAATTTGAAGTTGAAGCTCACACAGCTTCAGACGGGACCCTAAGGGCCCGACGTACCCGTCATACCGAAAGGAGGGAACGGGAACATCTTCAAACTGGAAGCGAAGCCAGCAGGCGCACCGCCTGTTCGGCAGCAGCCGACTGATGGGTCTGCTCCCATCACAAGGAACGAACTCATGACCTTCATGAGGGACTTCAAGGGAGAAATTCAAGAGTTGATCAACAAGAAGCCGCCTGCTCTGGACAAGGAGCAGTCGGCTAAGAAACCCTCCACTTCACGGAAGAGGAAACCAGTTCAAGGCGAGAGGCGACCCCTCATCCTAAATCTAGGAAGTGGAGCCACCTGCCCTTGATTTCACAAAATACCGTTTTCCTACTCCAGGAAATAGGAAACCTGCTCGTCATATTCAGGCGGACGGGTCGAGGAAAACATACACAGACGCTCGGCTACTGCTAGAGCAGAAGAAGAGTAGCCGATTGTCAGAGTCGGCCTCTACTTCAAACTTCCAAGACAGTCTGCGAAATACCTCGATGAGGCATACTCAGTCGTATCATGAGAGTCAGTCAGGCGGCACCTCCCGTCAGTCCGGCTTTCATAGCGACCAGGCGGTACCAAACTTACCGTTTGTACCGCAACAACAATATTTTTTACAGCCACCTCCGTTTGGTGGACATGCAGCAAAAAAATGTCCGACCTATGGACTGGCAGCTACGGTTGCTTAGACTTGGTGAACAGCCGTCGGCCTTCTCCAAGGAAATTACTGAAGCCGCTCAGCCGACCAAAGTGAAAAATGTATTAGTAGGCGCCTATGACGGCACAACTAACCCAGAAGACCATCTGATGGCATTCACCAACCTGATGTACCTTCAAGGGTTGGATGATCCCACTTGGTGCAAGTGTTTCCCAGCGACTCTCAAAGGAATCGCACAACAATGGTTCGGCAACCTGCCGACTGGTTGTGTAAATAACTTCAGGACGCTTGCTTACTTATTCACCTCCAACTTCGCCATGAACATCCCTGCGAAGAAGACGACCCTTGATTTAGGAACAATTCAGCAGGGCGAGAAGGAGGGGCTTCGTTCTTACATCAGGCGGTTTAACCTGATGAGAATACAGATTCAAGGGTTACCGGATGAAGTAGCCTATACTGACTTTTTCAAAGGTCTCAAAGACGGGTCGACCTTCAAATTTGATTTGGTCTGAAAGAGGGTGGCGACTCTTCAAGAGGCCTTGATTGAAGCGGAAGCCTATATACAGGCGACTGATCTTTGTAGTACGGTAAAACAGTCAGACGGGAAAAGGTCCGACAAAAGAGAAGGACGACAGAAACAGTCGTCAAACAAAGACGAGAAGAGAAACGAGGTCTGGGCGGCTGATTCCTCTAAACAGCCGGCCCAGAAAAAGAAAAAAGAATTCAAACCATACTCCCCAAAGTATGCGTTTAACAAGGATATCCAGTTTATCCTAAAGGAAATCAAGGGACGGATCTCAATTGAGAAGCCGGTCCCCATGAAGGGTTCTGCAAATAACCGGAACCAAGAAAAATTCTGTGCTTATCATGAAGATGTTGGTCATCACACCAATGAATGCATCAGTCTCATGCGGTATCTGGACCGCCTGGCTGAGCAAGGTGATCTTGACACTTATGTCAAGAAATCTACGGGGAACACTTCCTCAAAAAAGCAGTCGGCCAAAAAGAATCAACAGGCCGACAGTTCCGATACAGATGATGCAGTCGTCTACACCATTGCAGGCGGCTTCTCAGGAGGCGGCCCCACTATTAGGGGCAACAAAGACAATATCAGGCGGTTAGATATAAATTCCGTTCACCAAGAATGACCCTCCAAATATTCATTTCCTGAGATTGTCATCACTGAAGAAGATCTAGGAGGGGTAAGAGGGCCGCATGACGACCCTATCGTTATTGAATGTAAAGTGGCCAACCAGAGAGTTGGCCGAATCCTCATAGATACCGGAAGCTCCTCAGATCTCATCAGTAGCAAATGTCTGTCGAAACTAAAATATCAGACTGATTGCATACATCCGGCATCCCACTCTTTAGTAGGGTTTGGAGGAGGAGTCGTCCACCCAGTGGGACGAGTGGATTTACCCA